TTAGTCCGACCGTGCCATTTCTCGTTTAGCCATTGGAATGTCAGCTGGATGACGGTACTTCTATATGGACTGATAGATGCTTCGCTCCACTCATCATCATGCACTTCGGGGATATGCTGCGACTGTTTTTATGACGCTTTGTGATTTTCGCCACGAAAACATGCGAAAATTGCAGAGCCGACGTGATGTGCATCCGCTCATTCCGGCAAACGTGACGCCTCCCCCCTTGAAAGTTTTATGACGAAAGTTTTCTGACGAACAATAGGCCGTTCTTCATACCACGGACAGCTGCGCGTGTGTATTGTGAGATTCATGTTGTGGTTTCTTTGAAAGTAAGATAAAGTGTTGGTTTGTACTCGACGCTGATCTCGCGCCAATCTCGAGGATGTCGTGTGGAGTTTCGGGGGCTTCCTCGAGGCTTGCCATTGGTGCTCAAATGTTTGTTTTGTTTGCAAACCGGTTGACCTTTTCGCTGCCTCAAAGTTCTACATGCGAAGGAGAGCAGAGTATTGCATGCGAATTCATGAGTTGTTTTTCTAGGATTCGCCAGCCATCCTTCGGGTTACAACGTTAAATGTACGTAGACAGTATCACCGCAGTCTTCTGTCACATAGCCAGCGCGCAAAAGCGGTGACCTCTGGAAGTGCCATTAGAACAAGACAACTCAAAAGGAACTTCAGCGTGTTGCGAGAAAGGCGATTTTGGAAAACCTGTGGCTTCCCGAACACATGGCTAATTGCAAAGTTGTAATGCGCTTCGCAATGCGCTTTAGTATTGTGATGCGCGTTACAAAGCGTAATTTCAATTGTAATGTATTTGTAATGCGCTTTAGTATTTTAAAAGCCACGAAGCAGCAAGTTTAAGCCACCATTCAATCACTAGGGAACAGTATCTGTTGGTGATATTCGGGTGAGACAGCAGTTTTAGACATTTAAGAAAAAGACGGGTGCCTTCGGGTGACTCAACGTGTCACGTGGCACTTAGTGCATGTGTGTTTTAGGGGCGAAGCTCCTTAGGGTCGAGCAATGTCCCCTGTTCGTTGGCATGACACGCCTGGCACATACCCGCTCTAGAGTGGATATGTGCCACAGGTGATGCAAGATGCGAGATGGCGGTACTTGGAGTGTTCACTAGATGGACGCAAGGATACACGGCCAGACAGACTAGCAGGCGGACGGACGGATGAACGTATGGACGCACGAACTGACGGACAGACGTATGGACGTACGCATGAACGGACGGACGCACGGATGGTCGTGCGGATGAACGGAAGCAAGAACGAATAGACGGACAGTCTGAAAGCCACTTCGCCCCACTCATCAACATTAAATTCGTGGATATGCTGTGATTTTTTCGCGAAGGAAAATGGCTCTATCTGAAGGCCTTGTGTTCCTTTCACGTTAATCAAGGCTGAGTACACTTAACTTCACCTATATACTCATCATGAGTTTTCACAGTCGCAGTTTCCCGTACATGTTTCTCAGCAACGTTTAATTAGACCACAATATCTTGAAAATGCACGCGCTTAATCAATAATAATTGAACTATCCGCACTGCAACCAAAATTTGATTGAAGTGAAGCTATGTGTTCTATCATTTTCTGAGCTATTCAACGAGCAACTTTATTTTTATTTACGGACTCTCGCTTTACGTTACACGTTTTAATTAACTTGACGTCATATAAAACGGTACAACTTTTTTGTCTGAATTATCATAAAATGTGTCCCTCCTTATTTCTTCTTTACCTTTTTCTTTACCTTTTTCGTGGTTGTTCAAAAACCGGTTCTTTCTTTCTCGGGGGGGGGGGGGGGGGGGTTAAGGAGTGTGCACCTTCGGCGGCAGGGGTGGATATTTGGATGCTATGACTACAGCAAAATGTCATGGTTTCGCTTCAAGGCTGAAGCAATGAACGCAATACCAACGAATCGGAACGCTACACGAAGACCGCCAAGCAGCTCGAAACAAGCTATGCGCTGCTCGAGCAAAAATGACGCTGGAAAGTAACACACAACAAATGGCGAGTGCTGACTAAAGATTCTAACACTCGCAGCGCGCTGCCCGTACACGAGGAAGAACACGAGAAAAGAACGGACAGATATACGCATTGTGATTATGATGCGAGTACGAGAGGTGCCACAGCGCAGGGCTCCTGAAAATTTGAGTCACTGGGGCTCTCTAATGGGCCCCTTAATCTAGTACAGGGGTCTCAGGTATTTTCGCCTTCATAGAGAAAGTAGCCGCCGTGGTTGGGATTCGATCCCTCCACTTTTGAATAAACAGTGAAACACCATAACCACTACACTATTATTATTAATTTCATTATTATTAATATTATTATTATTATTATTATTATTATTATTATTATTATTATTATTATTATTATTATTATTATTATTATTATTATTATTATTATTATTATTATTATTATTATTATTATTATTATTATTATTATTATTATTATTATTATTATTATTATTATTATTATTATTTCACGCAAATGACTTGTCTATTTGAATTAGCATATCCTTCTCACAGGAAAGCAACCCGTAAACTTACAGCCTAGCTTTCTACGTACCGTAGGCCCGTGTGCCCAGATTTGGGTGCACGTTAAAGAACCCCAGGTGGTTGAAATTTCCGGAGCCCTCCACTACGGCGTCTCTCGTAATCATATGGTGGTTTTCGGACGTAAAACCCCACAAATGAAATCAACTTTCTACGTCTCACCACGCGTTAATCTTTGTTTTCCTAATTTTCACACTTCGTGGATATAGCTCGACCTGCTAAAGTTAATCAACCGAACTAGGCAAGATGACCGTTTTACAGCATCCTTGGCGCTTATAGCCAGGCATAAAAGTATTTAGGAGGCCACGTTTGGACTCTGCCAACATATCACCTTACGCTAAAGGTTTCGTGCGATTGCGACCTACGAAGCCACCACATACGCGGCCGCGTTCTCTTACAGCAGCGTTTTGCGAAGTAACGTAAGATGAGATCCAATATAGTTAGCTGACAGCCTCGCATTGTGTAACGTTACATTTTGTTGCGACTGCATTTATTGCTTTCACCCTGTGGTGAAACTGTGATTCTTTTTTTTTCATTTTATTCTATTTCACTTTCTCCATGTTTGTTGTACTTTTTAACACGAAATTTATGTCAGGGTCCACCTAGACATTTAAAACGCATTTTCGTAAACGAAATACGTTCGCAAAGTAAACGTCACTAGACAGCAAAGTAAAAACGCGAACGAAGATTATTTCGTTATGACCTCTCGGTCCACGACGATGACTGGTGGGCTAAACCCACTGCGGCACCCCCTAAGCGATTAAAGATGTCTATGTTTTATTCTCCATTTCACTGAAATGTTTAATTATTGTTCTTCTCTTTGTTCCTTTCTCTTTCTTGCGTCTTTTTATTTGTAGTTATTTCTCTCTGTGTTGATGTTGATCTTCTCCCACGTTCATCTCTTAATGCCGTTATTCGCTTAATTTCTTTAGATTTTTTTACATTCCTGTCATTTCTATCTTTTTAACTTTCTCTCTTTCAAGCGTTTCGCGGGCTCCACTTCACCGAGCACCGTTCTCACTTAGCGCTGATAGTCGTGCTTGCCCTATTCCTACTGCACGAGCCACCTCCTCCTCTTCGAGCAGTTTCGAACAATCGAATACAAGTTACCGATACCTTTACAAAAAAGGGGGTAGAGGTCCCTCCTACTTCGCTTACGCATCGGCTGCTCCGGCCCTGTGGCCCGGTGGCATCGGCTTGGCAGAGCCTCATCTCCTGCGTGCACTGCGTGCGGGGCAGATGAAACCATCGAGCACCTGTTGTGTGCATGCCCAGCGCTTCGCACACAACAAGGCGTCTTGCTCGCTGCTCTCCGTCACCGTGGTCTGCCCGCGACTATACACAGAGACCTTCTCTTCCCTGCACGGCACCGAACCCAGGTCTTCAAGGCGGTTATTCGCTTCCTTGGGAACACTGGACTGGACGACCGGCCATAGAAGCCACCTGCCACGTCCTCGGTCACGGACGCCATTTCCCTTCTTCTTCTCTATTCTCCACACCTTTAATGCCCTCACCTTACCCCTACAGGCACTGAGAGAGAGAGAAAAACAACTTCATTTTACAGGCGCTGAGCCGTGTTCCGAATAAGGGCTGCAGAAGCTGCGTCTTTTCTTTTCCTTAACCTCTCTCTCGCTCTCTTTCTCGATACCTTAAACAGCTGTGCTCTCAAAATCGGTGCGAGAAGTTAGTTTAGTAATATTGGGAATAAGGAACACGAAATCCATTTCTTTGTCTTTCATCAGCGTCTCTCGCTCTGTAGCCACTATATGTAGAGAGAAAAGCTGAGAAAGAAGTTTTTTTTTATACTAGAACGCAACGATTGAAGTCGCTTATCTATTGCAGTGAAAATTTAGGTAGCGCTTTTTTTTGTACAATATTTCATGGCGCAGTCCGTGCAGAACCTATCCTGCACTCCCTAAACCTTTGTCTGACATTTAAGGTAAGCATTAGGCGTATACTTCATCGTGTGTGTCGTGTTCTATGGCGCCATGTGGAGTCATGGGGCGCAGTTGGAGCGAAAGCTATGTCAACCTACCACTTAGAGGAATACTACGTGTGTGTCTCTTTTTTTTTTTTTTTTGAAAACCTAATGGGCGTATTAGGCGAAAGTACACATATAGAAAATTTAGTTGCGGATATATCAGTTCTATGTTACAGATACGATAAGGTAAAGATGAAAAAAAATGATAAAAAAGTATACATGTTTCATACAATCTATATGCACGTATAAAATGTTTATTAAGCGATGTGACTATCATGTCATTGTGACGTTCGTTTGTGTTAACACAAATTTGCCTATTGGCTCCATCGTTAAGAACATAATTTCCATTTACATAAATCTTCATAATACCGGTTCGCCAGAACAAAAGCTACTGCTAGAGGAAGTTATGCATGCATTTGCACGAAATTATCTTTTATTTCATTTCTGGTTTTGTGTTATTTCATGTTATTCTTTTATTTTGGATCGTTGCAAAATAACTGCTCGGTATATTGTCCTCGGACCAAGTATGTCAACTTCTCGCCTTCTTTTTTGAGACCTTTGGCTCTACCAGCCAGTGCGGTGATGGGGACGAGAACCCATTGGAAATTCCCGTTTGTAGGATGTGAAAGGAAGTACACAAAGAAGCCAGAAAATTGTATCTTCACACTGAACTTGCAAGCCTGGAATAAATGAATAATCAATACTTAAAAGTCCACTGACGCGTAACAGAATGTACACAATACTACTACTATATTAAATGTCGTGGAGATTTACTTGCTTCGTAAAGACTGCGGTGAACCTTATGGGATAGCTTGCCCCACTTCTCCTCATCCGACGTTTTCCTAAGACCATTGACATTAAATGAAAACACCTTCAGGTTTAGTCCTTTGAACACTTCTGGAAGAATAGCATAGGTAGATAGAGAAAACGGGCTATTTATGCCTTCGTGAATCGTCCACGAGAAAAGCCCGACGCAGTCCGTTTCATTTTCTCTCAAAGTTTCCTCTCCTTTGCAACTGTAATATTCAGACCAGTCGACTTCTCCTCTTACCGGATGCCTGTATGCAAATAAAATAACAGCGTGATCAGTACAGTAACCGGCCTAAAATGACGTAAAACTGTCGACGGCAACTTATTAGCGAAATCACTGTACGCATGCCTTGCAGTATACAAGTTGAGCAGCAGGACTGAAGTTAACTTACTTGTCCCGATGATGATGACGTTTCCAGTACGAGAAATCATCCCTTAGACTCCAGAAGTTTACTCCGCCTTTGTACGTCTCATTAATTTTTTTTATGTAGGTTGCTGCGACTGTTTCCAAGTACACCCATTGATGTGCACCCAAGGCGCACTCAACTATAAGAAGAAAAAGAGTAAAAGTGGCAGCTTACACGCCTTCTCCTTTACTAGGACGTCTGAGTGAAACACTAAGGTATTACTCTGCACATATTGAACATCACAAAGATAAGTCAAGGCCATATTGAACTTTGTGCCTAGTAGTGGCCTACCTAGTAGGCTATAACATTCCCGCTTTCGTTATTTTTTGTGTTGACTTTTCTTTGCGTCTTTCTTCCCTTTCTTTCCATTTACCTCGCTTATTAGTGCAAGGTAGCAAACCAAAAGATACAATTCTGGTGACCTTCCTGCCTTTCTTTCAATTTATTATCTTCATCTCGATCACGTAAACGAATTACATTTTGCAACTTCATTGCCACTAGCCGAGATTGATGGTACATGATCGCTCAAACTAGGCACGTGTTTTACTTCAATCATTTTGATCTTGTGAGAACACAACCGTCGGCCGTAACTCCAGACATGTCACGAGTGCTTAAGAGGCCTAAATAACAACGAAATTTTGATGGTATAACATATTGCAATACTACTGGCACGCAACCGAGACAATTTTTTTCAATTGATGATGTTCGTGTGCTTGTTTCTTACGTGGAAAAGAATAGCAACGCCGGCTTGTTGGTATTCGTAGAAGGATAGGAGTTAGTGGTCCAGAATAATGAGTCATTTGGAAGTATGGAGACACATGTGTCGTGCACGATATACTACAAGTAATACACCATGTATTACTTGTAGCACAGCGTCTTGCTTCGGCGTATAAGCAAGACGCTGTGCGAAAGGGCCCTACTATGTTGCGAGACTGGTATACAGGACGATATCTTCTGCTCAGCCCTTACGGAAAAATACCTTCTAAATGCGGGGCTATTCGGCTACATCCCAGTCTCGCAAGTCATGTAGGGTCGTAAGAAAGCAATTTGTTCACTCATCACCTGCATTCAAGATTTCAGCGCCCTTATTTTTTCCAGTACTCATTGCTGTTTGGGACTATGCTAGTATATACTTCGCTATTTCAAAGAGTCATCTGTCACGAGCAAGTAATTCTCATGAAGCTGTAAGAATCACAATGATAATTGAGTTCACTTTAATTTCACTTTAATTCGTGTTGCAACTTCATCTCGCGAAACATAAGCGCAAAGGAAAAAGTGCATAGACATGCAGATAGGAACATTGTTTCCTGTTTCATCGAATATCCATCGTAGTTAACATGGTCTGGTTATAACTCGCTTCGATGAAACAATGCCAGTCTGATCACCAATCAGACAAAAAACTGTACTTGGTAATATAGAGATAACATTCTATCTAATCAGCAAGCGAGTTCAGTTATGGTATCTTCAAAAACAGCTCATGCCTTCAATTTTTTTATAAAATTTTCGTAAGGTAATTTTTGTTATAAAAATCGCTAACTGTTTTTCATGTCTAAATTGAGGAAAACTTAGGAATATAGTAAGACTTGGTCCTATTTTCATTATTTTTTCTTGTAGTAAGTGACAGAGTAATTAATGCAAACTGCATTGTCAGAAGACTCATGCGCTCTACCTGTTGATAACGGAAGGTTTACCGCATAATATATCATCTACGTACCGTTAGCCATCCACAACAGAACCTGGAAGAGCAAGCTGCAGGTTAACACTAAACATTAGTAAATAATAGAAATGCTTACAATTTTATCTTTGCTCATTTCAATGAATAAATCAGTCGATGGATCAATCCACCAATTAAGTGGTATTTTGGTTATATTTTTCACCGAGAAAATGGTATATACCAGTACATAAGCTTCAATTAAAACATTTAGTGCTACAGTTAGTACAGACTTCCAAACAGCCACTCCTACACAAAATATAAAAGGGCTGCCTACTTCTGGCCATTTCGCTCACATTTCGTAAAGGAGCGTTTAGCCTTACACTAAGCAGATTGAGATCCGGATAGTAAGAGCAAGAATATTGATGCGTGTTCCCACCAATGCAGCATATACAGCGATATGTGGTTTCATGGAGCACAAGTAAACTGTGAAACATTGTAGCGCACAAAAGCAGCGATGTCACTAAATTCACCGTAGAGTGATGGAGTGAGAGTCATTATTTTTTTTATTTCGCACATTTTCTTGTGGGTTACGAAAACAAACACGCCTTGAATATGAAATGCCCTCTCCCTTTTTCATTATTTCTGTGTCCTTCTATTTATTTGCACACACCTGTTTACCTTGAAATATGAATGAACTCTCCCAACTGCAAATTTAATGAAATAAAATGCACACCATAGTTTATGAGTTCGCAGGCATCTGATGGCCGAAATGAAAGTAAACGGATGTATGTCACGCCGCCAGCCATTGTCATCTTTGCTGGCTTAAACTAAGTGGTCCTCAGTTCTGTGTAGAAGAATATTATGTGAATGAATGTAATCTCACCGATGCGAAACAGGTCGCACGCCTGTAGCCCAGCTTCATCTCGGTGTGACAGCGAAATCTACAGATCGCAAAAAGTATCAGCATTACGTAACTGCTGAATCACTAACACGTCAATTTCTCTCATCACATTCGGCATAAAAAAGTTTGAAGGGACACTAAAGAACGAAACACTTTTTGGCTTACTAATAAAGTGCGATTTCGCAATCCCGAAAACACCATTCTTACCGCGACATCACGCTTGGTAAGCGAGAAAACGCGCGAAAATAAAGTGTGGGTGAAGACGCCACTGTGAGATTCCCGCGCCAAACACCTTGACGTAGCAAATCTTGATGGCGTCTCCTGTATCCTGCTTAGCTTCTACTCAATAAAAATAAAGTGCATTGCCTTCTGTGGATGCCTTAGACCTAGCATACGAAGTTTCGAAACATTTCACAGAGACAATGTTTCGACACAAAAAAAAAATAACTTTAGAAATTTGCTACGTCACACGCGGAGATTTTAGAGGACACTTCAAAATGAAACTGCAAGCTTGATCTTCTCCGCTAATTGTGAACTTTTCACAGTGAAACTTATGGCATTATAGTTCTCAGAGTGTTGTTCATCAATACAAAAAATGATTGTTCCTCTTTGGTGTCCATTTAGGGCAGCTTCGCACTTGTGGTGCCATGCCTGAGAAAAGTGTGGAGTTAGGTACTCTTCTTTGTTTAGTTTTACTTTTTATTTCGTTCGTCCTCTCTTCTTATCTTTTCTCCTGTTCACTCTACTTTCATGTCATTTTGTTTCTCTCCACTGCCTCATTCTTTCTCCATATATATGATGCCTTCTCTTTCTCGCTATTTTAGCTTTCTTTCCATTTCTTATGTTTCTTTCTCTCTCTCTAGTTCTCATGTCCTCTCTATTTCTACCTTTTCTCTATCTTTTCTTTCCCTTTTTTTTACCTCTTTTTGCTGTCTTCCTTCATCTGCATGCCATTATTTGCTCTCTCACTTCACCGTTTCCTCCTCCTCACATTCAGTTTCTTTCCCACCACCTTGCTATACTATACGCTGTATTCGCTATAAAAGGCTACGTCTTGCTATGCTAGCAGACTGTAATCGCTATCTCGCCTATAGGAGTTGAAGCACCCCACATGCGTCTGCTGCACACATCCGGGTAGCGAAGCAGAAGATGAAGATGATGACGGAGCGTTCCCCGGCCGATTTATTACGTTGCACGCGCTAAAAGGCAGAGATCACTGAAGATATCTCATGTAAATGCTCAAGGGTGAAACTAAAAGCATAGAAACTTCGCTGTAGAATTTTGATAAGTCTCATTGTGCGGTTTTTCTCTTCAAACGCGAAATTAAATTATTAACAAACCAGAGAACGTGTATAAATAGATGAGTAAGAGGTGACGGTGTCATAAAAACTCCGCTTATGCTGAAGCTTACTATGGTCGCACCGTGCTTATGCACTGAAGCCAAATTGCTATCAACGAGATTTACAGCCCTCCGAAATTCGAATAGGTTGAGCTCCAATTGCATATTTATTTTTCGGGCTACAGCCAAGAACCTCTCCAAATTTGAGAATTTAGAACATGTAGTGTAAGTGTTCTTCTTTACTCCAAAAGTGGCGATTTGAGTGGCAAACAAAATTATGCTTCAGATAATCCTAGACGTGCCTAAAAGGAAAACCACAATTATAGTGTTGCAGAACTGAAACTATGTGGGCATATGAATAGAACAATTCAGTATTGATATAAGGGCTCATTTTGAAGGCATTGCAATCTCAGAAACGCTAGATAAAAATCTACGAAGTATTTTACTACTGCATCTTAGGGTGGTTGAAGCGACGATTCCTGAATTAAAACGCTTCATGCGTATAAATTAAAATATTTCTGTTGTGTTGCTAAATATTTAGTACATATGCAATTATAACACGTAAAATACGCAACATTTCATTTGCTTGCCATTGTTCTGGTCTTAAGCGCTAACATGAAAGTAACAGCACTTAAGAGAACGCCATATTATCTGAAACAACTACATAATTTGTATTTTGCGAGCGCGGCAGTACATCAAATTCCAGAGACCGAGTAAATGGGCTGTGTTTTCCGACTCGAAAACAGCCCTACAGAGCATGCAGTCAGTCCTTCGACGAGGTTGCCATGAGCAGTTAACTTACGAGGTTGTCAAGTTTCTTCACCACGTCACAGAAGCAGACCACGAGGTCAAGTTTCAGTGGCTTTCTGGCCATCGTGGGATCAGTGGCAATGATTCTGCAGACAACGTGGCTCGCGCATCGCACCAAGAAGAGCACACCCTTCCGATTCCTTCGTCAAGGACAGACGCTGCAAAGCAACTTCGTCACCTGGCACGCAGTCTGTGTCTGCTGGAGTGGAACACCCCAAGCATAAGACATACGAGACTCTACCAAATAAACCCTCGACTGGAACTTTGACCTCCATCCGGACTTCGTCGACGTGAAGCTTCGCTTCTTTGTCACCTTTAGTTGGGGTTGCCTTCGCAAACGCATATACAACCTTCATCGGATTGACCAACAATGCGGAATGCGACGTCTGCTGCACCGAAGAAGACATCGACCATCTGATATCCCGTTGCCCTCGATTTGCCTCTGAAAGACAGACTTTTCGACGCATTGTGACAATTGGACGATCGGCCACTCTATGCAGATGCTACTGGAACACCGTCCTCGCCGTTCGTCGGCTCAAGAAGTATTCAAAGCCGTCTTGTGCTTTTTGAGGACTACAGGCCTATGTTAACACCTTTAACTTTTGTGTGTGCCACCACTGCATACGCGTCAGCCCATTGACTGGCAATTATTTTCTGTTTCTCTTCTCTTTCCTCTTTCTCTCTCTCTTTCTCTCATCTTTATACTCCCCCTTTCCACTCCCCCAGCGTAGGGTAGCAAACCTGACATTTGCCTGGTTAACCTCTCTGCCTTCTCTCTCGTTATTCTTGTTCCCCCCTCTAACAAATTGAGGTCTCGAACATAAAGACGACAGAGCTACATAAAAAAAAATTGGGAGATTAGTTGTCATAACTTCTACGCCAAGACATCGGATGGTCGCATTATCAACCTTTCTGAGAACTATTTAGTGAATGACAATTAGGTGATGTCGTCCTTACTCGCCAATTAACGCGGGAAGTTCTGCAGAAGAATATCTTATGACGAGGCGAATATTTTATGTGAAGAAAGCTCTCAGACTCGCTTATAATGCACCTACGGACAACAAGTACTGCCAGCGAGTGAAATATGCATTGTATTGCTAAGTAGCGAAGATAAATTTTTAGTAGTAGCGGTATTTTTACTTGTCGGCAATAATTCTGCATGCCATACTGCTCTTTTCTGCTTACGTCCTTTAAGTTCTACTAGTTTTTTTGTTTTCTGCAGGGCTTGCTTGTATGAGTTTGTATATACCCCGATAATGTCAAATACGTAAAATTACTGGTCAACATCAGCACTGGTATAGCAGAATATGCCTCGACGTTCATTTGTTTTTGCGCGATGCAGTGTTTTCTGCAGTGTTATTGCAACCATCCTTGCAGTGGGCACAAAAGTAATCACTGCGTATATTTTCGAGGCACCGAATTAGTCGATAGCCGTAATTTATTCACCCTGGGCAGTTTATTCGTACTCACCGTTTATCACTGCTCGTAACCAAAACACGTACTTGTAGATTTCTTAGTCGCCGTCGTTGCAGATCCAGCAACTGCGGGCTTCAGATCGCTGTGTAGCGCAATGCCCTATTGTGGTAAAATTATGACGATGTACGCACGGTTGTATAATCTCACTATATATGTAGGGTGATTTTTCGCTTATTTACAATAAGGGCCATTTATTTCTCTCGAAAAGTCAAAACTCTCCCAAATCAATGCATATTTACTAATATGTGTCAAATTAACTTACTTACGGGCAAGTGTAGTTTTATAACCTCTGTTCTGCTAAATCGAACATGCTCGAGGGGCTTCCAATTCGTTTCGTACCCTATCTCTGTTCCGTTCTGTTCTATCTGTTTTGCTGTAAAGAGGTTAAGGTCCATACTACCTCGGCTAGTCCATATCGATAAGTTCTGCAGCGAAAAAAAAAATAAAACTGAACGGTACTCAAATTGAACAATCAGCACAAAAAGAAGAAAAAAATATTACTAGAACTCTGAAACCAGTTAAAATAACATGTCAATGTACAGTTTGATCGCAGCAATTGACACTGCACAAAATGCATTGGTCTAACTCACCAGACGCCCACCGTAGTATTTCAGAAGAAACTGTTCGCCATATTCTTTTGGAATGCGTAAATTACGCACATGAAAAAAATAATCAAGGAAGAAACTAGCAGTTTGGGACAAACCACCTTTAACATCAATGAAATTACTTGGACCATCGCTTTAGATGCCCCTTCCGAGAAGGGCTAGCATCTTCTCGACATACTTCTAGTGGAGACCGGACTGGATAAGCACTTGTGACATACATCTAGGAGTTAACATGCATGAAAAGATGTGTTAGTGCACATACTGAGAGTAGAAATAGAAATGTGCGCGTGTACCCAATCTCAAAATGTAAGAGACCATTGACCATCTTTTGCATGCATAATTCTGAAGTCTATAGCCGAAACCGATGAGTCGCTGCCTACGATGTTTCAATTTAGTTTCGGAACATTTACGAGGAATGTCAGTAGATACTGCAATCTGCACCTTTTTTCTTCTTTGTAATAATGTTCAAGTATATCTCACTTTTTAATGAAGGCCTTCCTAGGACGTCCACAGATTGTCCTCGAGCTTCTATGGTGTCCACTGAATTCCGATCACAGAGGTTGTGTTGGCGGTTCAGTACAGCTGAAACAAAAAAGTTAGAGCGAAGCTTTTCTTAACTTCTTACTGTGCTTTTCCGAAAGAACGCCTAAATCAAAAATCAAGATATAATTATATATATATATATATATATATATATATATTATATATATATATATAATATATATCTTCAGACGAAGGCCGGTCCCACGGCCTTCGTCTGGGGATATATATATCCCCAGACGAAGGCCGGTCCCACGGTCGAACGTCGGACTAAACTGTGCTGAAACGTTCGTTGTGTGTGAATTACTCCTTTTTCTATATATATTATATATATATATATATATATATATAATATATATATATATATATATATATATATATATATATATATATCTTGATTTAGGCAATATTTCTTGGTATTTAAAATTTAAAACATGACAAAGTTTAAGCGTCAATTTTCAAAAAGAATACCTCAACATGTCTTGTACGCTGAGCCGAATGCACAAGCAGATTTCACTCACTGAAAGTACGTGTGCTAACTGGAGAGGTCTTACACATGTACCGTTGAACTCATCGGAACGTGTACCTAATTTATATGTAAACGTTAAGTTCTAGCGTTTGCCGAGACACTGACATAAGTATCGTTATGAGAAATATCAAGGCGCGATACATAACTGAGCGCTTGAAGTGTTCCGCATCAAGTAGTCAAGGCAATGATCTATCAAAAAGCCTGCCATTGTTTTAAATAAATGTATATAACAGAGGGTAAGAATCCTAATGTCATTTATATGCAATCTTGCGCCTATTCCCTTGCCTGATCAGACATCTAAATGTCGAAGTATCCACACTCTATCACAGTCAATGTCTACCTTTCAAGCGCCTGCCTCTGTTAGTTGCTTATCGTTTACCATTCGCGCATGAGAACGCTGATAATGCAGCGGCTGTCTGTATTATACCATGCGCTAACTGATAAGGCTACACGTACAGTAGCATGCGAAGAAGTTGGTGTATGTAAGCAGACTATAGGTATGCCGCTTCCTTAGTGACACCTATATACGAAAGTGAGGAAACAGTCTCCACTCACCAGAGCCGCTTTCAACTCACCGCAGAACAGTATCGTCTCGACTAGTGTGTACTCAACCTACAAAAGCAAAATCATTCACTTCATGCCAGATACCAAGCTAACACAAAGTGTATACTGGCAGTCAAACAAATTCTGTCCCGTTCAGCCATTTGATGTACACTGTACACCTATGTCTCTGTAAAGAAGTCAAGTGTATCTAAAGAACTGCCCTGTTGATGAGCGTATAACTTGGACGTTCGACTCGCTTAAGCTTGCTTTAGCCGAACATTATATTTAGGTAGTCATCACTGCCTAACAAGATGAACTATAAGCGCCGTTTGTGATGTCAGGGGGAAGTTTTTATTTCCAAACATAGCAATCAACCTTCCACGCTGTAATCCCAAAGACAGAGAACAGCAGTTTTCCTAGGCTTCATCTTAACAACAGAAGCAGTAGCAGTAGTTAAATGATGACGTATCCAACTTTAGGTAGCTAAAAATGGCTTTGGATATATGCGTCTCCAATTGCCGTAAAGGAATTAAGGTTCTACATTGAATCAGAGTTCATGAACTAAGGCGGTGGTATCATGCTTTTGTAAATTTCACGATGAGAATTGCATGATGCTTTCGTGTTTTTATTTCTGCATTCGAGAGCTACACTTCAAAATTTTAACGACTTGATCTTTTTCCATCGTAAGGGGATGACCAAAGGCGGCAAAACTTCTCTGTGTCACTATAAAGAATGTGCCATATCTCTCCCGCTAACAGCGACAAGAAACGGCGTTTAAACTAAGTTCCAGTGTCACTGGCTGCTGCCTGTGTTAATAGACAGGCATGAACGGCGGCCTTTGGCGCGCACAATACCGCGCACTCATGCTCACTCTCGCCTTATACGTGTTTGTTCTGGGTGGTCCCCATGTTCTTTCTAAGTACTCCGGCCTACCGGAAGCCCAGAGCTTACAACTGTGGCGATTTCCAATCAACGGACTAAAACGCGCGAAGCATTGGTGCAGAAACTTACGTTAAACACTCGAACAAACCGAGTCTTGTGAATCATCCCTTTCCCCACAGCCTCCCCCCCCCCCCCCCAAAAAAAAACTGCACTGGCTTTGCCCCTCTTTACGGGGCCCGAACCAATCTAATGAAGACAAGTGGTCATACCGTATCCAGATCACCAATGTCGGGGATTTTGATGCACTATATTCACTTGGGCTGTTTAGAGGGCCCTAGATATGGCGGTCGGGCTTGGCCTGATTGTTCCTACGGGAAAGCGGCCCACTGTGCGTCGAGTCGTGCACTTCACGACTAACACAGTTTTGCATTCATCCATTCATTCATTAGGCAAGCTACAAAGACTTCATAATGTGACGGTGCTGTTCGGCCTCCCTGTTCCTACGTGGAAGCGGTTGACTGTGCGTTGAGTTGTGCACCTCAGGACTAAAAAAGTTTTGCATTCATCTATCCAATCATTAGGCGAGCTACAAACACTTCATGATGTGGCGGTGGTGCTTAGCCTTACTGTCCCTACGTGGAAGTGGTCCACTGTGCGTTGAGTCATGCACCTCAGGACTAAATGTGTTGCATTCATCCATGTATTCAATAAGCGAGCTATAAAGGATTCAAATGGGTAAATAACTTGTACAAAAGATTTACAATTTCGACCGGGATGAAGCTAGTGCGTTGCATATCGGCTGGAGATGAAGTGGGTGTTCACAGCTCTTGATATTCAGTTTGCTGTTACGAACTTTGATAAAGTGGTGACGTACATACGAAACAAAGAAATGTACCTACTGCACACAACAAACCAGAGTTGTTTTCACCACAAAGAAACGAAGGCCTTTCCGGGAATCTGTCTAACCTGTTGTTGTTGTTGTTGTTGTTGTTGTTGTTGTTGTTGTTGTTGTTGTTGTTGTTGTGTTGTTGTGTTGTTGTTGTTGTTGTTGTTGTTGTTGTTGTTGTTGCTGCTGTTGTTGTTGTTGTTGTTGTTGTTGTAAGACCATCCCAATTTAAGTCAGCCGTCTCTGATACAGTAAATAGTAAAAGCCCGTGCAGAAGAAAACTTAGCTTTAGTTTTACGACTTAATTACAATACCCTGAACTTACTCAAAGTTAATGAACGTATGGATTAAAATGTGAACAGAAATATACCTGCTTGAAATCTTTTGTAGAATTTTGCGGTAAAAATGAATGTGAAACAAAACATTTCATAATACCAATGCGTACTTTTAGTTTATGCGTAAATTGAAATCCCATCTAAAAAGTGTAGGAAAACATGTAGTGCTGAGAAGCCACTTTAGGAACCTTCTGTGAAGAATCTTTAATCTTGACTTTCACCAATCTTTGAAAGAGCGCGCTGAGCCTTAACGTAACTGCGGCGCGACACCACTTCTTTTTTTGAATGTCATGATGCATAAACCGAAGCAATATATTAGCGAGAAAATCGTATAGGTTGTGTTGGGGAGGCCACCGATGAGCTCGCGAGAGAGAGAGAGAGAGAGAAACAGCTCTATTTGACGCAGCCGCAGTTTGGTACGCCAAACGTCTTGTAATATTCAGTCTGTCAAAACAACAGTCTAGCTTCGATGGGTAATTAGTATGATAAATCATAACACGCTCGACGAGATTGCAGAATGTGTGCTGAAAATGTCATGCGCACCGGTTCGCGCAATCAATTTCCGAAATGCTAAGGGCTAAGTCGGGTCACCAGCACTCCCCTTCATAAAGTCATCGATCACATACAACTTGATCAAGCAGCATCAGTTGGCTGCTTCTCAAAACTGTCTGTGACCTTTTGTCATGCAGATTGTCAGCGACCTAGATGCGACGTCTAGACGAGTCATAATTTCAGACAATTTTAACGTAAATGTGAAACAAAGACACGAAATTTCTATTAATAAAGGTGCCAACTTTACACTCACTTGTTTGTTCTGTAAAGCATATAGTTACAACTGAAATTAATGTAAATTTCTGAGAAGTTCAGCGTCTACTTCCGCAATTTCGCGTCCCTTGTTCAGGATTTTATTTCGTTTATTTTTACAGGAAATCAAACTGGCCCTGAAAGCGTATTATTGTGCATGATTATTTGTACTAAATGTTGGCGGCGAGTCGTCTGTTGTGGGTGAACTGAAGCAGTGTTTTGAAATATTCGTCATCGCAGTGGTTTTTATCTTGTCGTGACACTACAGCGGAGGCCGGCTTGCGGTAAGACAAGGAAGCCATTCTCGATCCTTTTTTCATAGAGCTTTGGTTAGTGGGGTAATTAATCAGCCGCCCCACTTGACCGTGTAAATAAAAGATATCTGCAATCCCGCCTGCACTCGGTAGTTTTGCGAAATGCTAATGCATTGTAAATGCTTAGCAAGATAGACTGATCGTTTTTATTACCTATAATAAAAGGAAACATTGTGACCCTTTCGTCCGGCTGTCTAATAGATATGCGAAGCAAACACGACCAAAATATTGAGGATGCCACTAAAAATAACGAACAGAGCACAATACAACTGCCAGTTAGACGAAAGTGTTAATATTGTGTTACGAAGAACGAAACGCAAAAAAGGCCAGAAAGTGTGGTAGAGTGATTGACAGCTACTCCGCTAAGAGTTGTCAAAGCTTATTGTTTATTAGTGAATTTGATAAACTAGAAGCAACTACAGGTACGTGTTCATTTCTCGTACGCCAGGAGGTTCTATATATTTGAGTGAATATCAGTCCGACCAAGTTTAACGTTTAATTTGAAGTTATTTTTTTCATTCTGGTCAAAGCAAGATAATCTCCAAACATACACGCCTTTTGACTCATGCGTCGATTTCTCTCACTTTCATTGAAGCCCTTCTCTGACTTGTGTTGCAGTTCAGCAATACTAATTAGCACCCACGCAACGTTCCCTTTTTCGTGGTTGGTAAGCATGTACACAAACTACCCGTTGAATTCAATTTGTGCTTACACAATACTAAACAG